CAGAGATCATAAAAAATAATGACATATATTTAGTTCATTAATGAACTGTTTATATAACCTCCTGATTGTTTGGTTGCTGTCAAATAATGAAATTATAATTTATTATTGCACACATTTAAAATATTTATGACCATTAAATATGCATGAGCATGTCTGTGAAAAGTTAGATTCTGATCTGTTAAGAAAAGTCCGAACAGTTACATTTATAAACTTTAAAGCTTCTGTGTTTAATATTATTATTATTTGTTAAAACACATGATTGTACATGAGCTTTTTAAAACCGAAAATTTGCGAGACGGTCTGACTTTCCATAACAAAGCAGAACTCAAAGGGAGGATACAGATTTTTTCCCTTGTCCCCTCAAACAGGAAACTGCTGCTAAAACTTCCCCCACTCCTTTCAGCAACTTCTAAATCCCGAAAAATCATTCTCACATTATGAATCTCAAAACTAGGTCTTTAAAAAGAAATTTGAAGTGTGGGACCAGACAGACAGTAAATTACATAAGGAAGAGACGCCACAGCACTCTGACTCTTAACCTCTGACAGCCGTCTGAATGATGACAATGGCAAACACCTGCTCAGCTTTTTAAAACATATCCACAACCTATTAGCTGTTATGCTGTGATAACTAGGGCTGGGTATCGTTCAAATATTTCCGATACCGATACCAATACCTTGACTTCGATACCGGTTCCTGAACCATACTTTTTCGATACCAATTTTATGAAATCAATTTTAACAAGATTACATTATCTAAAAAAAACTTTGGTTTTATTTTTCAGCTTGTTGATGTTTATACAAACTCAAAGACTCATCTCCTGAGCCACTGCACAAAGGAACAAAATGTAACCAACACAATAAATCAGTGCAAAATAATTTTAATAAAGCTCAAATAGTTTTCAGTTTACACATCTGTTAGGCTACATTTACACTATTTAGTGTTCGTTTTAAAACGCATAGCTCAGACAGAATCATGATTTCTATTTATTTTCCACTGATTTACTGATGAGCATTAGCAGCTTCCAGCACTGTCTGCTTGTGTTCTCTCTTCCATGATCGCTGCTCTGACTCAGAGGTAATAACATATTTAATTTCAGCTACATTACATGGCCAAAACACATACTAGACAGCAGGGCCGGATTTACCTCGTTTCGTGACATAGGCAAAACAAATTTTTGGGCCCCCTTCCCTATTAATATAATAGACCTAATATTACCACCCAAGCAAACAAAAATATTTTTTAATCAGTGGAAACCGATACAGTGTTTTCTATCGCAATAAGCACTTGCGTTCAGTCAATAAAAATCGAATGTAGTTCTTAATTTGTTTGAGAACTGAGAAAGACCGTTCCATATAGGCCACATAACCACTTCGGGAGTGCATTATTTCTCGAATAATTTTAACGGCCTGGAGTCACAACCACACATCAAGACATTGTTCAGATGATTTGTTTCAAGACATGTGACATGTTTCCGTCCTTTTTACGCACCTCATCCCAAACCTTCCGTTGCAAATTCCAAAATGTAATTTTAGAGCTGATAACAGAGGCTTGGGTCATTGATATGCAGGCTATCGCAGTTACCCTCATGTGGTGTTTGGGTCCTTTTTGCTCTGAAAATTTTTAATTTTTCCCGAAAATACTAGTTAATGTTATCGCATTAGACTGAAATTTTGTGACTTTGTTCACAAAGGGTATAACTACTTCTAAAAAAATTTTTTGATCATTTTCATACTTTTCTGGGGGAGATTTTTCACCTTGTTACACCCGTGATGTTACAGAGCAAAAAGGACCCTGCCTCAAAAAAATGCTTATAAATCACTCATTATGCTATATTATCACCAAAGATTGGATTCAATCTTTTTGTCAACTTCTTTTCTTTCATTTAGGACTGGTTTTGTATTTATATTGGCTTCTGATTAATCGTAGGCCTCATTTATCTGAGAGTAGCCATCTCATTTTTTGAGTGAAAAAAGCATTATTTATGAATAATTTTCACAATATTAAATACAAACTGATGAAAATTTGCACTCTTTATCACAATAGTGTGCTGTAATGTTTAATCAGGGAGTTTGTTTTGAAAGGCTTTTATTTTGTACAAAATGGCACAAAGTCACACTTGTGGTGTTCCTGGTCAAAAATGACCCGGCCTCAAAAAATTGCTTATAAATCACTAATTATGCTATATTATCACCAAATATTAGATTAAATCTTTTTGTCAACGTCTTTTCTTTCATTTAGGACTGGTTTTGTATTTACTTCTAGACAAAATATTATGACAATAGGTATTCATATTGAGGCTTTCATGTTCTCACAAAGCAGACAAAAGTTTACTAATAAATGCTTTAGTACGGAGCCCCTAAAGGGACATGGTGGTGGAAAAAAATCAGATTGAGAAAAACATTTTTGTGTTCTCTCGCAAAGAAAAAAATATATTTTGCGAGGGAACGCAAAATATCAGTTTTTATTTAATATTGTGAAAATTATTCATAAATAATGCTTTTTTCACTCAAAAAATTAGGTGCCTACTCTCAGATAAATGAGGCCTACGATTAATTAGAAGCAAATATAAATACAATACAAATATTTTTGAGAGAGAACGCAAAAGTTTTGTGAGGGAACGCAAAAGTTTGAGGAAACGCAAAATATCTTTGCGAGAGAACGGAAAAGGTAACGCAATTTTTAACCGTAATTTTACGAAGCTTCGAGAATACTTTTTGTGCGCAAAAGAAAACAAAAAAATAACGACTTTATTCAGCAATTTGTCTCCTCCGTCACCCTGGTGACGCAGCTGACAAAGAATAGCATACGCAGTTTGCGTTCAGTGGATACTCTCCAAAATGGCACCAGGCCTCGTTAGTGTGAAAGGGTTCTGAACACAACACAAGGGGGCTGAACGAATGACTGACAGCCACAGCGGAGAAAAGAGTTTGTGTGAACTTTAATGTAAGGACTTAAATATTCACATGTAGCTCACATTAAGCTATCGTATGGCTTCAGAAGTAACACAAAATAATTTGAACAATCGGAGATAAAAAAACTTTCTCGGATTTGGATCGGCTCTCTCTGATCGATACCCGATCCGAGAAAAATGGCACTATCGGAGCCGATACCCGATATGAATATCGGATCGGCGTGTCCCTAGTGATTTCCATAGCCTACATAAAAAGGTGGAAGACATGGAAATAGTTTGTCATTTTTTACCCTATTGTTTGTTATATTTATTTGCTCAATGTCTTCTGGGGTTTTGGTTCTCTTACTGTTGTAGATAGCCCAAAGTATCACAAAAATATTATATATCTCTTCATTGTGTTTGGGACCCCCCTGGACGAGCGAACATAGGCATGTGCCTAGAATGCCTATGCGTAAATCAGGTGTTCTGACAAATAATGCTACCTATCAGATTATGCTACCAACACTGTATTTATCCTACTGTAAGGGTAGGTTTAGGGTTGGGGTAGGTGTACATGTTAATAAAGCCTCACACCTTATTAATATCATGCTGGAAGCAAAATCTGATAGGTAGCACTTTTCACTATCAAATTATGCTACCATCCGTTTTAATGGGAGGTAGCAAAATCTGACAGGGTAGCACAAATCGTCAGAACACCGGCCCTGTTAGACAGCAATCGGAAGTTATTACAAACACTCGATGGTGGTTTAAAGTGAGTTTTGAGTAAAAGCGGAATATATTGTCTTATGTAGCATGATGCTACAGTTTGCATGAATGGTCACATAACACGCGCTTTCGGTCGTGTAACGTTAGTATGAATGGACATCTTCATATGATCGGAACTCCACGCAGCTCCCGCGCAACTCTCCATTGGAAATTAACGACCGGTCTGTCGCTTGTCGGAGATAGTGGAAAGCCGGCTTGAAACGCAGTGGAAACGCCAGTATGACTTGGATCGTTTTCATTTTAGAACATAAACGCGCCAGTGTAAATGTAGACTTACATCTATGGGGGCTGGGACGCATTCACATTACAGCCTCACGTGTGCGCCACATCTCTGAGTGTAACATGTGTTAACTAGTAGGTGTGTTCGATTTGACGCGGACCGACTGTACAGACCGATCGGTGTATTACAGTACCACGAGAGCTAAAGAGAGCAGACTGCTCCATGCGCTTTCGAATCGCTCTCACGGATGTCTAACACTGATCGATCTGCACCACACCTCTTCTAGTCGAACACAACGGCTAGTGCTGCAGGCTTATTGGCTCACTGACGCTGATGAGATTAACCCCTTAGGTATCGAAATTTGGTACCGAACGACGAGACGTTTTTCGATACTCGATGGTATCGAGGCAATTTGGTCGGTGCCTAAAAAGTATCGAACTTGATACCCAGCCCTAGTGATAACAACCCGAGTAGTCACAAGAAGGATCAAAATCACGGGAGCAAAGTTGGCATCCAAAAAGGGTGTTTATTTCGAGCAGATGTGCAAATAAATATGTTTAAGCTCAAAACTAAGTTTATTTATAAAAACAGTCTGAAATTAGAACTGCCAAGTACTTAAAACAGTACCAACTCCCCTCCACAACATTGAGGCTGGAGTTTTACATTCTTACACAGCACCACAATAATCTCGTTCACAAGCTCTCCCTTACTACTAGTGACCGCCATCCTAAATACACATTTTTCCACTTCTTACTAATTTGAACATACCATGTTTTTATAAAATAAACTCTTGTCTCACAATATGATTTATAAATGAGAATTAGGAACAAGAGTTAAGTAGATAAATACAGTTAATGCCATTAAAAAGAGAACGGATGAATCAAAACATATTTGCACAAACATTTCCATAAATTAGCTAAAATGAGCGCTTTCCCTCAAGTTTTCACCTCTTATTGCCACACCCACCCAGCTAGATCAGGAAATACATAGAAGCAAACCCTGCTGTAAATATTACAACAATGAACCAAAAACAATAAGAACACAGTAAAAACAGTGATGAAAGACAACTTTAAGGTCTCTCTATCACATATGTCATGGTACCTTGAGATGCTGGAGTTGTCTGCGGTCATCCTCAAGTTGTCTTCTTTTGTTCTCAATCTCAGCCTCTCTCTTTCTCTTCTCCTGTAAGACAAAATATTAAACTCTGTTAAAAGATACTGAACTTCCCACTTCACAAAATCAAATAAATCTCAGAAAATCTCAAAACTGATTTAGTTAAAGAAATGGTAAGAATTCATTATTATTGGATACTATTGACAATCTGTGTTGATTGTCAAAAGATATTATTATAGTTTTATTCATATTTATTCATATTTTTAATTGTTATATTTTCAATTCAATTTTAATTTTACTTAAAGTTTTAGTAATTTTGTTGTGTGTTTGTCATTTCTATTGTGTCTATACAGTTTTTATTAACTTTATTTCAGTTTTAGTTATTTTAGTACATAAAGTTAACCTAAACGAAAATGAGAAATATTCCCTCAGCAACTAGCTGAAATAAAATGTATATATATATATACATAATTTTTTTTCAGTTAGTAGTTAGATTCAGTCAGTATTTGACTACATTTATTAAATTATGAACATTATATTTATTACATATTTAATAACAGGTGCTTATATAAATAATAAAAATTGTTCTGCTCATGCAACAGCTTACAGGAGAGATTCATATTTTTAATTGTTATATTTTCAATTCAATTTTAATTTTACTTAAAGTTTTAGTAATTTTGTTGTGTGTTTGTCATTTCTATTGTGTCTATACAGTTTTTATTAACTTTATTTCAGTTTTAGTTATTTTAGTACATAAAGTTAACCTAAACGAAAATGAGAAATATTCCCTCAGCAACTAGCTGAAATAAAATGTATATATATATATATACATAATTTTTTTTCAGTTAGTAGTTAGATTCAGTCAGTATTTGACTACATTTATTAAATTATGAACATTATATTTATTACATATTTAATAACAGGTGCTTATATAAATAATAAAAATGGTTCTGCTCATGCAACAGCTTACAGGAGAGAATGTAATAAAATCTGTATGAACAAATAACTAAAGTAAAGAGCCTTTTCTATTTCCACAGTAGCTGTAAATAACACCTTGGTATGGTAAATAACCATAGTGACAGTGACTGAAGTAAATATCAAAGATGCTGACCTCCATAACACTGGAAAGTTCCAATCGAAACATTATTCAATAAACAAGTCCAATTGAGGTGCTAGTTCATCAGTAAAATCTTAATTAGGGTTGGGTACCGAACTCTGTACTTTTAAGGGTACCAACCGAATTGCGTCGGTACTACCGAGTACCGAGTCACGTTAAATCAATCGGTGCCAAATTTCGGTACCTGAGAACGCATCTGAGCGCATATGCTACAGAGAGAGAAAGAGAGACCCTGTGACATGATGCCACCCCTGCAACTCGTTCAAACAACACGCAGGGCAAGCCGAAATGTTCTGAAGTGTGGTTACATTTCTAGGGCCATATGGTTTCAATGAAAACGTAGACGGGATGGGATATGACGGCATGAATACAAAAACTTAATCTCCAGAGCTGCTGTCACTGTGAGAGTCACTTCGCGAGAATTTTACCGTTTCATCTGAGAAAACTAGCATCATCATACTGTATACACACAGAAACTTCATGGCAACCTGCCAAAATAAAAGTATGATTTAGCATGTAACAGAAATATATTACTCTTGTATTACTTTTGTACAGTATAATGTACATCTTTAAATATTAAATTTTCAATCAAATTTTAATAAAACAATTAAATTATAAAAATAAATTTTGCAACCATATTAATCACTTAATTGTAGAAAAAAAATAATACAATTATTAGCCTATTAAAAATGTTTTAAAGGAATATTCACATAATTTTTCTTCCATGTATTAATTTCAACAGTAAACTTCAGTTTGTTTGCCAATAAATAAGTGGATTTAATTTGCATTTGATTTAAAATAAATGTTTAATGCCTTAATTTGATTTTCAACAAAAGTAAAACAAGAGGGGGGGGGACCCAGTCACCCAGCTACTACATCTTCGGCAAGGAGGCCTTTCTATTGAGGAGTATGTTCACCGGTTCTGTGTGCTATCATATCAAGTTCCACTGTATGATGAAGCTTTGTTTAAAGACCTGTTCCGTTTTGGACTGGATGAACCCACGAAATCTTGGTTACCTGGAGGGGAATGTAACTGTAGTTTAAGGGACCTTATGGATTATGCTTTGTTGTCTGTTGGCTCTTTGTTTACTGTGGGTGTTGCGGAGGAAGAACGCGACACAATGTCTGTGACTGAAATGGCGGCTGTACCAGACCATGCTCACAAAATGGCGGCGACAGCGGAGCCTGATCGCAAAATGGCGGTCACACTAGAGCACGCTCACAAGATGGCGGCGACAGCGGAGCACACTCACAAGATGGCGGACACAACAGCATCTAGTCAAGTCACGGTTGATCATAATGAGTCAGGTCAAGTCACAGTTTATTATCATGAGTCTAGTCAAGTCACAGCTGATTTTCCTGAGTCAAGTCTAGTCACAGTTGATCTTCCTGTGTCGAGTCTAGTCACAGTTCATTATCCAGAGTCTGGTCAAGTCACAGCTGCGTCTCAACTGTTCGTCCAGAGTCACGTCACGCCTCAGTTATTCATCCAGAATCACGTCGCATCACAGCTGATCATCCAGAGTCATGTCACGTCCTGTCTGTCACACCCAGATTCTCAAGGTCAGCCCTTCAGTATCCTAGTCTGGTATCCAGTGTGAGGGATGCACCGCTGGTGTTTGCACACACCGCTGGTATCCCCAAACCCACTCACTCTAACCTTTCTATTCATGAACTCATTCCCCTGTCTGCAGCACTTCCCATATGGGGGGTTGCTTTATGGTGTATCTGGGCCGCGTACTCCACCGCCGATTTGCTAGAGGCAGCAGCACCGGCTACAACATCTCCAGAAGTGGCGGCTTACGCTGTAGAACCTCCTGAGGTAGCGGTGTCCACTGCTGTGCTCCCAGAGGCCATGGTGTCCACTGTAGTCTCTTCAGAGGTGGTGGCGCAGGCTGCAGAACCTCCCGAGATGGCGACACTTGCCTCAGTTACTTGCGTGGTGGTGGCGCCCAGCAACGCACTTTCTGCCTGT